TATTATCATGTGCTTAGTAATATAGATATATACATGTTAAAAAGTATTTATCTTTGAAATAATGTTCAAAATAAAAATTTGAGTTACAAACAAATAATTGATATTTTATACTCACTATGTATTTACCTTTGCTGAAAATCTTTATTTCTTCATATGGCTTTCAGTTACTGTCTTTTGTATCCTTTCACTTCAATATGAAGAACTTCCATTAGCATGTTTTCTAGGATAGATCTTGTGGTAATGACCTCCCTTACCTATTTGGATTGAGTGGTCTTGGTATCCTTGTGAAAAATAATTTTACCAAATATAAAAGGAATTAATTCTAGACTCTATTCTGTTGGTCAATATATCACATTGTTTTTATTCCTATGGCTTTGTCATATGGTTTGAAATGAAGAAATAGAGTCCTCCAACATTATTATTCTTTTTCAAAATTGTGTTGGGTATTTAGGGTTCCTTAATATTCTGTATGGATATTGATAAAAATTTGTAATTTTCAATGTATAAGTCTTTTACCTCCTTAGTTAGATTTATTTGAAGCATTCTTTTGATTTGATTGAAATCAATTCATTTTCTTAATTTTCTTTTCTGTTATTGTTGGTATGTAGAAATGTAACTAATTTTTGCCATTTGATTTTGTGATCAGCAACTTTCCCAATTTTTTTTTTGATATTACTTTTAAAAGTTTTGAATTTCTTTTAATGAATCTTAGGATTTTTTATATGTTGCATCATACAAACTGTGAAAAGAATATTTTTACTGCTTTCTTTCCAATTAGAGTGACTTTTATTTATTTATTTTTCTTGCCTAATTGGCCTGGCTTGCAGGGATATTTTTTGAAACCAATCTTTGAGGTTTCTTCTTACTCCAGGAAGACTCCACTGTTTTTTTTTCCTAGTTCTGTGTGGTAAATTAATTGCCATACAGTGTGTCTTTTTAATGTTACAGAGATATCAATTTCCTCTTTGTTTTTTACCCTCAAATTCAATTATTTTGAGGCACTGTGATTGATATTTAATGTCTCCAAACTCATTTTCAAGCAAAGTCATCTTAATAGGAAGGAACTTCTTATATCTTTGTTCTTGTTTCCTGCTTCTACTCCTGGAGGAAATATCTCTACCAACATTTTGGACAGTAGGGTAAGAAAAATGACTCCTTTACTTCAAGTGTTACCTTTAGGGGCAGGGTGCTTATTGGGGTGGTACCTCTCTGTCTTCTTGGCTTTCCTCTTACTATGAGGGACTTCCTACATCTGAGTGATCTGATATGAGTGTGGTTGATGCCAGTGGTCTGGTATTTTTTGTCTACTACTAGGAGAAGATCTTCTGTTCTATGAGTAGTGACTGGTTGGGTAGGAGGTCAGAAACTTAGGGAGGAAGATTATAAATGTAGTAACCTCACTCACCTGTGGAAATGCATTTGTTCTTGGATGTGTTTCTATTAAATAAACTAGAAGTTGGGTGGTTGTGAATAGATCCCGCTTCAAATGTCAGAGATTTCCACTGCTCTTAATGAACATTTTTAAGTTTTCATAAATTGATATTCCTTTATATACTACATGCCCTTAGGACAATTCGCAGTGACTTAAAATATTCGTTTTTCTGAAATTTTTAACAGTTAGCTTTTTTTTAGAGAGAGAGAGAGAGAGAGAATTTTAATATTTATTTTTTTTTAGTTTTCGGCGGACAACATCTTTGTTTGTGTGTGGTGCTGAGGATCGAACCCCGGGCCGCACGCATGCCAGGCAAGCGCACTACTGCTTGAACCACATCCCCAGCCCCAAGGGTATACATTTTGAAGCTACATCATTTTGGAAGTAGAACCTTCACACATGTGTTTTTTTTTTTTAAGTGAAATAAAAGCAATATAACCTTTTTACTTAATCTTAGATGTTTAATGATTTATCTGGTCTGTATGTTCCAAATATTTAAATTAAAGAAAGAATCACCCTTTCTGAACAAAATTTTCTTATAATTTTCAAACTTTGGGGGTAGTAGTCAAGATGAAAGGGAGTTGAATAAACGGGGATTATTACTTAAAAATCTCATTACTTTTTCCATGAGGAGAAATGAAGACTTTAAATGTAGGAAAACTAATTTGTAGAGGAGATATCTTTGTATTATGCTAATTTGAATGGTCTGAATTGGAGTGATTCATGACTTGTCAAAACCCCCAAAGTTTTAGTCAAATGTGAATGGGTAGTTGGCGAGAGGCATTTATGTAATTATTAGATATTGCTACTGCTATTGTATTCTTTGGTCCTGAATAATATAAGTGATAATATATAAAGTCTATAGGTTTCACCTTTATTCAGTAGAAAAGTGGTTTTATCTATCATTAGAGCTGGTTAAAAGAAGTCACTGGGTTGCGAGTGTTGCTGTATTCCTCAAAGGCCTTCTAATTTGTTAGAGGATTATGTTCTACAGTGCTGTTTACTGTGTGGTTTAAACTTGTTCCACTAGACCGAGATGCTGTGGTATTTCTAAATTATTTCAGGTTTACAAAAAGGGGCCGTTTGTTGTAATAGTGGGTTCTGAGAGTTTAAGAGAAAGCATTCTATCAGATATAATCACCTAATTATTCTCTCTCATGGAAAGTCACCAAAGGAAAATAAAAGCCAGAGATTCACTGGAACTGATGATGGATCTTAAACCAGAAATTAAGTTACCATTCATGCTTAAGAAATATTTCAGAAAACAGGACCTTGAGCAAGACTTACTCATCTAGGTAGCTTTAATCTCCACAGGTAGGTTAGAAACAAGTATTCCTTGGTACTCAGTTTACCTATTTAAAAATGAGACATCTTTAATTCTGTCCACACCCTCTCTGAGTTACAACACTAAAATGTCAAATTTAAAAAAAAATCCAAAAGAAAATAAAATCAAAACCAAACAAATAAGTACTGTATTAGGTTGTTACAACAGAAAGAACTGCAATGGGAGTGTCTTCTCAAACTTGGGGAAAGAATGGCATTTTATGGGGAAAAGGCAAAAAATGACAGTGCCTGCTATAAGTTTAGTGAAGTTTGGTTTAGGCTGGTGTTGCAGTAAGTTATTTTTCTTGTGATTAGGCCTTACATCTTACGGAATTGTTGACTGGAAGAAATTTGGAGGAAGTGTGTAACTCTTTTGATATGAGGGAACAGGGCCTAGAGGTATTAGTATAAATCCAGAGGAGATAATGTTACTATTCTCCACATTTAATAAGGATTTATTGGATATATCCATTCATTATGTGTCTGGTATTGAAAAGCAACTAAGAAACAGTATAAAAATTTCAGCTTTTATGGAACTTATATTCTAAACAACAAGTGGTCTAAAATAAACACATAAACAACAAAATGGCAAGCTTTGTCATATACTAATATTTGTAATGAAGAGAAATATGGAAATATGGAAGTTGTTTTGGGTCTAGGTCAAAAAGGTTTCAATTTAATCAGAATAGTATTATGGCCTTAATTTAATAGACTAGCTTTCCCCCAAGGATTTAGAAAGACACTTCCATCTTCTATCAAATTTCAGTATATATTATTTGGTCTGGTTGTGTAGTCTGTTTTATGTTTATTTAGTCTATATTCTTATTCTTGTTATAGCAATAAATTTGGCAAAGATTTTTAAAAACTTTTACCTAGTGTTCACTTTGTTGATCCTCCTTTAGAAGTTTAGATTTTCTTTGAGTTCATCTTGAGTGGGAATATGTTAATATCCCTTTCTTTCCCCATGGTATTAATTTGTCCCTTTTAGGCAATGTTGAGGTTCCTGGCACTCTAGGGTACTTTTCCATTGTCTGGGGACTCCTTTCCCTCTCTGTTATTTGACATAATTCAGAATAAATCCTGATACAGGTAGTTTTGCCTAGAACCTGTGTGTGGTGGTTTAAAATTTTTCTTCTATGTCTCTAGGACACAGTTACAGAATTTTTTTTTAAATTTGTTTTTGACTGTAAGAACCCTTTCTGTAGTTCCCATTTTTATTTGTAAGTCTGAATTCTTCCATGCCAAACACGTTACTTCATTTAGTCCTAATCACTTCTCAGGGGTTAAACATTGAGCCACCTCTAAAATGTAAGAAGGGCATAGAGAGAAAGGCATTTTCTTAACTCTTGCTATTCCATATGAGGACTAATAGTATAGTTTCTTTTATTTTTTAGTGTTTTAAGCTTTTCTTCTCCCTTAAGAACCACAACTCCCCCACCCAAACAGATCTACCTACATACTTTCCTCCACCCTTCTTCCTTCCTCCCTTTCTTTCTTCCTCCATTTATCTACCTATTTATGTATCTGTCATTGCATTTTTGTGAATAAATGGGAGTTTTTAGTGCTTAACCTAAAAGCCTGTTGCTTACTTTTGAAAATAATGATTGGATGATTTGTCTGTTGGCATACTATATTTAGAAATAAACTTTAAGTTATTCTTCATAACAATGAAATTAATTTATATATTAAAAATCAAGGTTTAAAATTGTTTCAAAATGTAGAAAAGATTTAAGAGAATGATCAGATGGAAATGGTCAAATTTGAAGAAATTCAGGTGAAATTTTACCATAAATCAGGAGAACAACATGGTCTGAGTCTTAAACGTTAGAAAATGATTTTGTTTTCTTTGTTGTCCTATCCTTTTTTCTCTTGAGTATATTTGTGTATATATTTAAAACAAGGAAACAAAAAAATAAGGAGACAACTACCATTTTTTGACTAATTTTTAAATAATTTAAGTTCATTTTTCCTTTAATAAACTTCTTCATTAAATAATATATTATAATTTTAATAACTAAATATTCAGTTTCTCAAGTTTTTGTTTCAAATTCTTAATCTTCATATCAAGAAGGTAAGATACAGTGTTTTCTTTCTGAAGAAAAATCTGACTAGTGTAAGAGTTGTGTTAAGATTTTTAAATTATATTAAAACACTACAAGATTTTCTGTCATTTTGTAGTATAAATATAAAAAATGTTGTTACATTGCATGTTTATTATATTTGATTATAAGTGCTTTAATTTTAGGCCTTTGAAGAAAATTTAATTGAAGCAAAGAAAGAAATTGAAGTATCACAGAGTAAATATAATGCTCTATCAATACAGTTGAATAATAAACAGACTGAACTTCTTCAAAAGGATATGGATATTACCCTGGTCAGGCAAGTATATTCTGTTTTCAATTTAACATTATTGAAATGCCATTAGTCATTTGGTATGATATCATCTATGCTTATTATGAACACCCATAAAAATGACAAAAATACGTCTTCTATAGGTACATGTGTTTCTGCATTGAAAAACTGGAATTATGTACACTAAACTGGGAATAATTTTGTAGGAGAGTAAGTAGGGCTCACAGGATTAAGAATGCATAGGCAAGGAGTACCCTTACTTCAGTTTTTAAGGACCATGCATTTTTTCATTGTTTATTCAAGTTCCTGGCCATGTGTTAAATGATAATCATCCTTATAATCAACAATAATAAATGAGAAACAGAATTTTTAATTTTTATTTTATCATGTCCTATATAGTTCTACTTCATGAAATATTCTTTCTACATCAACATTTTTAATTTTTTAGTACCACACATAAAGTGGAAACACTTGAAAAGGTAAACATGCTATACTTGTTTTTTTAAAGTGTTTTGAAACATGTTAATTCTACCTGTTTCTTTACTTCATAATTGCATTGACTAGAAAATAGTGTCAGACTATAGATCAGGACAGGATTTTTGCTTGGTTAACAGACCATCTCATGACACTGAAGGTTTATTTATAATGTTAAATGATAAAGTTAATTGTTTAAATAAAAAGTTTTTATATGAGATGGTGAAAGTGACTACCATTCTGGTATATATTTGGATAGAGTTATTCTTTCAATAACTTTAAGTTGTGAATTTTCTTTCATTTTAGTGGGCATTGATAAGAAGGTTAAGTTAGTTAGTGCTGTATGCTGGTACTTTTTATAGTTCCATTCAGTGAAATACAGTTTTGAACATTTAAGTATACTCTTATGTTGTTTATGACATACAAACATGAGCTGTGTGCTATATTCAAGACACACAAAGCCAGGATTGTGGAAAAAATGTCCCAGGCACTCCCTTATTTGGATATGCTTTTTTGATAAACAATGAGGATGACTTAGTTTTATTTCTATATGGATTGATTTTGGGGGGATTCATAATTATTTATATATTTTATTGAATATTTAATCCATGTTATTCTTTGTATTATGGGATATTGTTGTGAACTGCCTTAAGTATATTTTATTCAAAGTTAAAGTATATAAGTCTATATGCTCATATAATAATTACTTATCTCTAATACTTACTGAATATCTAAACATGTTTACTGAGAAGTTGGGTATAAAAATATTAGCCAGTTGTCTAAACAAAACTTGGCTTAATAGGTAATGATTTGATAATTGAGGTGAAAATTTTGTTGGAAATTGGTTGTGAATCTGACCAAAAAGTAAGTCTTGATGGTATAGTCCTAATTTTGGTTTAGAAAATGCTTAAGTCAGAATCCTAAAATTGAATTCAGTTGGATTGCTACTTTTCCTAGGCATTTAGCAAAAGCAAGTGTAAATTACCTCTGGAGGATGAACAGAACAATTCGGATCCTAAATTATATCTATAGTTTTGCAAAATAATGGGTATCAGGTAGTCATAAGTAACAAGTATGCAGTAAGGAAAGAGTAAATATTCACAGATATAGGAACTAAAAACAAAGGAAAAATTTCGACCTAATTATTTGTCAAAAATATAAATTTATATAGAAAATTTCATTATATATATATTGTTTAAATTAATGAGTTTTGCATGTTTGGTAGATACAAGGTTAGTGTTTAAAATTCAATTGCATTTTTATACTAGCAAAACAATTAGGAAATTAACTTAAAATAATTCAGTTTATAATATATCTAAAAATATGAACAGTAAATATAATTAAAGATGTATATCATCCCTATAAAGAGAACTATAACGTTATTGAGAGAAATAGAAGGTCCAGTATCTGCAGAGATATACCAAGTTTATGGTTTGGAAGACTCATTATGATGATGATATCTGTTCTCTCCAGATATCAGATTCAGAATAATATCAACCATGGATTATCAAGGACATGATACCATTACCACCCTTAGGCCAGAAGAAAAGAAATTGTTGCCATATTTCACTGAGAAGTAGATTCTTGTGTGAGAGATTCTTTGTCAAATGAATAGCTGGCAGAGGTTCTTTCAGGTTATCTTTTTATTCTGTTTTTTTTTCCTTTACTTGCAGAGGGTTTATAATTTTGATGTAATTCCATTTGTCAGTTTTAGCTATTTTCTGAGCTATTGAATTTCTATTCAAGAAATTGTTGCTTATATGTTCTTATATGTTTTTCTCTAGTAATTTCAGGTTTTAGCATGAGGTCTTTGATCCATTTTGAGATTATTATTTTTTTTTATACAGGGAGAGAGAGAGGGATCTAATTTCAATCTTCCACATGTCAGTATCCAGTTTCCTCAGCACTGTTTGTGGGAGACATTGTCTTTTCTTCAACATATGTTTTTGGCTCCTTTGTCAAGAATCAGGTGACTGTAGGTGCATAGGTTTATTCCTGATTTCTCTATTTTATTCCATTTATCTGTGGGTTTATTTTCATGCTAGTACCATACTGTTTTTGTTACAATGGCACTATAGTATATTTTGAGTTTGGAAATTGTGATGCCTCCAGCATTTTTCTTTCTCTCAGAATTGTTTCATCAATTTGGGGTCTTTTATGCTTACATATGGGTTTTAGGATTTTTTTCTATTCCTGGGAAGAATGCTAACGGTATTTTGATGTGGATTGCATATATTCTATAGATTCCTTTTAGTAGTATGGCCATTTTAACAATATTAATTCTTTCAGTCAATGAATATAGAATGTCTTTCTGTCTTCTAGTATATTCTTCACTTTCTTTCCTAAGTGTTTTATGCTTTTCATTGTAAAGGTATTTCACCTCCTTGGTTAAGTTTATTTCTTGGTATTTTCTTTATTTTTGTGAATGACATTGTTCTCCTGAGTTCATTGTTGATGTATAGGAAAGCTACAGATTTTTGTAGATTTATTTTGTATCCTGCTACTTTGCTGTGTTTATGTATCAGTTCTAAGAGACTTTAGCTAATTACTAAGGATTTTCTAGGCATATAATTTTTTTTTAGTTAACTTCTACATCACTGTGACCAAAATACCTAACAAGAACAACTTATAGAAAGTGATTCACATTATTAGAAGTCTAAGTCCATAGATAACCATCTCTATTTTTCATGGTTCCAGGTGAGGCTGTTTAGCTCATTCCAGGGTCAGGAAGCAGGGTGGTAGGGATAAGGGGCCACAGGGAAGATATAACCTTCTAAGACACAAACCCAGTGACCCACCTCCTTCAGCCATGCCCACCTTTCTACAGTTACAATCCTGTCAGTCCATTTGTAGTAGGATGGACTGATAAAGTTATAGCTCTCATATCCCATAATTTTACTTGACTATTCCTGCTTTACAGGGACATTTCGGGGACACCTCACATTTAAACCATACCAAGAATAATTATGATCTGCAAATGGGGGTGATTTGACTTCCTCTCTTATTATTTGTATCTATTTATTTCCCTTGCCAGATTGCTATGGATGGTTTCTAGTACTATAATTAATAAGAGTGGTAAGCATGAATACACTTGTTTTGTTCCTTAGTTTAAAGGAAATGCTTTAAATTTTGTCCCATTCAGTCTGATGTTGGCTATGGGTTGTTCTTATGTACCATTTATTATGTTGAGGTAGAATTCTTCTATGGCTATATTTTTTTCTTTTTTACCAGGTATTGAACCTAGGAGCACTTAATCACTGGGCTACATCCCCAGCCCTTTTTATATATATATTTATTTTGAGACAGAGCCTCACTCAGTTGCTTAGGAGTTTCCCTAAGTTGTTGAAGCTGGCTTTGAACTCTAAATCCTCCTAACTCAGCCTCGAAAGCTACTGAGATTACAAGTGTGTACTACCACACTTGACTTTTTTTTTTTTTTAATCATGAAGGGATGTTGAATTTATTGAAGGTATTTTTGCGCACTTACTCAGATGATTATGTGATTTATATCTTTGATTCTATTTATGTCATATATTACATTTATTTATTTGCATATATTGAAAAACATTTCATTCCCTGGATTGAAACCAACTTGATTATGGTGTATGATTTTTTTTAAATGTGATGTTGAATTTGATTTTCACTATTTTATTGAGGATTTTGTATCTGTGCTCATCAAGGAGATGGGTCTATGATTTTTCTTTATTTGTTATGTCCATATCAAGTTTTGGTAACAGAATAATGCTAGCTTTGTAGAGTGAGTTTGGAAGAGTTCCTTCCCTTCCTATTTCATAAAATAATTTAAGGAACATTGATATTAGTTCTTCAAAGATCTGGTAAAATTCATCTGTGAATCCATCTGGTCTTGGCTTCTTCATTGGGAGATTTTTACTATTGCTTTAATTATATTAATTGTTATGGATCTATTGAGGCTTTTTATATCATCTTGGTTCATGTTTCATAATATCTGTTGTTCTTTTTTCTTTTCTAATTGTATTAATTTGGGTTGTCTCTTTCTTTCTTTTGGTTTGCCTAAGGGTTTATCAATGTCATTTATCTTTTCAAAAAACTAACTCTTTGTTTCATTGATTCCTTGTATTGTCCTTTTACTCTCTATTTCATTAATTTCAGCTCTGAACTTTATCACTTCTTTTTTCTTATTGATTTTTGATTCGTTTTTCCCTTGTTTTTCTCAGGCCTTTGAACCTAAAAGAATTCATTTTATTTTTCATAGTTTTGATTTTGCTTATAACTGCTCTCATTATGGATTTTAATGCCATGATGGCATCTTTTTTTTCTTTTTAACTATCCTTCTTTATGTTGTCCTTTTCATTTCACACATTCAACAGATGGATGTTTTCAGATATCCTAGAAAATAGAACCTCAGTTAGGAATTAAGTATCCATTATTTACTTGGGAGCTTCAGTTACCATCAAAGTGATTGAAAGAGCAAGAATTTTAGGCATGAAGAGATAAAAAGTAAACATAATGCATTATTTTGATGTCTACTTTTTATTGATGAGCTCAGGTATACTGAATTAGCCACCCAGCTTGATTCTGTAGTGAGAAACTAGGCCCTAGAGCAATATGTCAGATGGAAGAAGATAATTTATCTGACTACTGGTTCCTTTTGTGTTTCATCTTCCATTGGTCAGAGTTCACTCATACCAAGGCCTGATAGCATTTTATCAGAGTCTGGAACTTGTATAAAGAGACTAAGCGTGCAGCATACTGTTTATCCTCAAGTGATGAGCCACATTAATTGTGTAAATTTCCCAGGCAAGAATGGTAATTCATAGGTTGAGGCAGAAAAAGGGAAAGTCTAAGAACTAGGTGAAGTGAAAGCAAATAGATACATAAAATGTGTCTGATAAAACAAATATTTAATAAGAGAGAGGAAAACTATCTTAAGTACTTGGTAGCAATGAGAAAGAGTCCCTGCTCTCAGACATGCCCTTACATCTTGACATCTAACTGATGTTTCAGATAGATGTAATGACTTTCCCCCCCCCCCTTTTTTTTTTCTAATTTCTTCAGTTGTTCCTCCCCAGGACTATACTTTTCCTTTGATTATGCACAATTAGTTTTTCTTAATATTAATTACCCATCTGTACTATTTGCTTTTTAAAATTTGTTTTCAAATGAGGAGAGATCTAGACAAATTCATTGTTTTCAAGTGGTCCAGATGTATGAGTTTTGTAAAACTTGTTTGTTGCCTCCTTTGATACTAATTAAATTCTACTTTTTATATTTCCGCATCAGTGTGCCCTCATCCCCTCTATATTCCATAGGGTGGCATAGGGATTAAAAGAAATATATACATAAATTATGCTTCTATTCTACTTGCTGAGAGTATGCCCAGAAAATTGCATGAGTTATGAGATGAAAATATAGTCTTCCTTCAGTTGAGTTATTAATCCTCAAGTGCCTCATAATAGTACAAGCATCTTCCTATTATTGAGTATGTTTCTTATGATTAAAGATACATATGTTTTTTTGCACTTGATCTGTAATGTAAATAAATCTAACCCTACTGATTCCGAACCTCTAAGAAATAGTAAATATCTTCTAACATTGGAGCAGAAATGAATTTTGTCTTTTACATTATATTGAAAGATGATGTCCTTTACCTTCATCATGTCTTTTTTCTGAATGCATTTAGTTAGTTCTCCTCCTTAACATATATCTTCACTATTCTCTGATAGATGTTCTATTGCTTATATCCTTTGGCCATTTTTTCCAATTTTACTCATGGATAATGGCAGTATGTAGCATGGATTATTACTGTGAGTTTCTTTTCCTCTCCTCTTGAATCATATTCCCTGGGAGGATCGTGCCATTATTGGTTCTCTTCTTTCCCCTCCCCCATATTTGGACTATTATTTTGTGCAAGTGACTATTTTTGAATAGTTGCAAAAGATGGTATATGCAAATATATATGGGAACAGGGGATGTGGTTGTGGTTAGAGAATATTAAATGTCCTAAAGACCTAAAAAGTAGAGTTTATTTCTCTTGTATTATTTTCTACCCATTTCCAACAACTGTCTGAGGATTTATTTTGTTCATTTAACATTTATTTTATGTAAATTAATCACCAGTTTGAAGCTATAGGCACAGAGAAAAATACCATGTAAAAAATAACAGTTTCTATGCAGAGAAATCCTTGAACAAAATTCAGCATCTATTCATGATAAAGACACTGGATGAACAAGGGATAACAGGAACATACCTCAGCATCAAAACCCAAACCCACCTCATATTGAAAAGCTGAAAACATATGAGTAAAAACTGAAAACATTTTCTTTAAAATCCAGAACAAGAGAAAACTGTTCACCTCCTATTCTGTATAGTACCAGAAATTCTAGCCAGGGTAATCAGGCAAGAGAAGGAAATAAAAGGGATAAAAATGAGAAAGGAATAAGTCAAAATATCATTGTTTGCGGAAAATATGATCCTGTACATAGAAGATTCAAAAAGTTCCACCAGAAAATTGCCAGAGTTAATACACAAACTCTAAGAACTATCAGTTTACAAAATCAAAATAGCTTTCTTATACACCAGTGGTAATTCTGTGAAGGTAATCAGGAAAACACTTTCTTTCATAATAGCCTCAAAAACAAGAGAAAATAACAACAGAATCATCAATCTTAACAGCAGCAACAGCAAGAAAACATCTCTAGGAATAAATCTAATAACCAAGGAGGTAAGAAGACTTCTGCAATGAAAACTACAAAACTTTCAAGAAAGAAGTCAAAGAAGACACAAAGATTTTCAAAATTAATATACAGATTCAATATAATCTCTATAAAATTACCTATGACATTCTTCATAGAACTGGAAAAAAACAGTCTTAAAATTCATTTGGAAGAATGAAAGAGTCAAATAGGCAAAGCAATTCTGTGCCAATAAAAGCAATGCTACAGCCATCATAGTAGCTGGCTTGAAATTATACTACAGAGACATAATCACAAAAACTGCATGGTACTGACATAGACAGACAAAAGAACAAATACACAGAATAGAAGACACAGAGAGAAACCAAGAAGATGGTTATGTGATCCTTGACAAAGGTGTCTAAAACATACATTGAATAAAAATCAGCCTTTTAAATAACTGGTGCTGAGAAAACTGGTTATCCTTATATAAAGAATGAGAGACTAGATTTTTATCTCTCACCCTACACAAAAGTCAGCTCAAAGTGGATCAAAGGCCTCAAAATTAGACCAGAAACTATGCAACTCCTAGGAGAAAATGTAGAGTTAACACTCCAACATGTAGGTATAGGGCTTGACTTTCTCAAAAGGCCCCCCAAAGCTTAGGAAATAATACCAAGAGTTAATAAATGGAGTGGCATCAAACTAAAAGCTTCCACAAGCAAAATAAACAATTAAGAATGTGAAAAGAGAACTTACATAATAGGAAAAAAATCATTGCTGGCTACTCTTCCTCCAGGATTAATATGCAGAATATATACAGAACTCAAAGAACTTAAGAACCCCCTGCATCCCCTCCAAAAAAACCCTACCAGTAATCCAGTTAATAAATGGACAAACAAATTAAACAGACATTTCTCAAAAGAAATACAAATGGCCAACTAATATGAAAAAATGTTCAACATTGTTAGCAATTAGCGAAATGCAAAATAAAATTACATTGAGATTCCATCTCATTGCAGTCAGAATGGCAACCATCAAGGTTACAAACAATAGAACTGGGGATATAGTTCAGTGGTAGAGTGCTTGCCTAATAGGCATGATACTGTGGGTTCAATACCCAGAGCTGAAAAAAGCAAACAAACAAAACCAAACAGACAAACAAACAAAAAACCCCACATTAATAAATTCTGGAGAGCATGTGGAGAAAAAGGAACACATTTACACTGTTGGTGGGATTGTAAATTAGTTTATCCATTTTGGATATCAGTATGGAGGTTCCTCAAAAGAATAGGAATGGAACCCCTATATGCCTCAGCTATACCACTCCTCAGTATTTATCCTAAAGAATCACTGTCAGCATCGTTTAGTGCTACATGCATACACATTGAGAGCAGCACAAATCATTATAGTCAAACTATGGAATCAGACTAAATACTCATCAGTGAATGAAAGGATAAAGATGTGGTATGTTTTATTGAACCATAAAGAAGAATGAATTATGTCATCTTCTAGAAAATGGATGGAACTTGAAACCAAGCAAAATAGGGAAAACTCAGAACGTCGGGGGTTGTATGTTTCTCCTCATATGTGGAGTCAAACAGGAAAAAAGAAAAGAAAGATGTCGGGTGTGGGGAGGAATCTCATGAAAACTGAGGGGAGAAAATAGAGTAAAATGACCAGGGGGAGGCAGGAGGAGAGGGAAAGGAGAAATATTGGGGATGGTATTAGTCCAATTAAATAGTTCTATTGTGTCTATGTGTAAACTTCTAACATTGAATCCCCCATTATATAGAACTATAATGTACCAATAAAAAATGGGAAAATATAAAATGAAAATGTACCTTGTTTTCCCCTGTCTTCCGTTATACACCCTAAATCTTTACTTTATGGAAGTCCAAAGTTCTTGATGTGGCCTATGTGTACCTTTCAGCTTCCATCTTATCCTCTTGTTTCCACTTCAAGCATTAGAGTCTTTAACACACATGCTATTTATCATCTCTATAAAAAAAGAAAAAAATACCCCAATCTCCAAAATATATAATATAAAGTGTATTTTGATGAAATATATATCTAAAAATTTCTCTCTTCAGATTGAATACATAAAATAATTTTCAATTTTGTATGATCTGTATCACACAGTATTAACTACCCCAGAATTCTCTGGAAATGTTTATACTAGAGATATGGTTCTCCTGGACCTTTTGTGCCATCATTACCACCACTAGTTTATTTGTCCTTCTGCTTACCAGTTTTACCTTAGTGACTTGGAAGGACTAGTTTTCCCTTGTCTTGCTTTTGTTTGTTCTGACTTTCTTGTCTCATTATCTTCTTCAGATTGGATTAGAGGAATCATAGGAATCCCAGCCAGGCCCCTGAGATTAGAAACTAGAACTGACAATGTTGTTTAAGGAACTCTTGTTTGAAAATGAAAGCTATTTTGGGGGGGGGGGATTTAAAAAATATATTAAATTTTTGTATAATATAAAATGGAGGGTTGGGTTACTGTTTCTTCAAAACTATATGATAACTATAGTTGACAACAGTATTTACCAATTCTTGGAACTGAAGTGTTAACTTAATTTCAGTAAGAAGGTGGTTCTATGACTGTATATCCAGGATTTTTATTGCTATTAAGCTATAAAAGAAAATTGATAAGTATTTGCCTTTGCAAGTTATAGTAGTTCTATCAATACTTTCTAGGTGTATGTGATAAATATTAAATACTTTATATATTATTTCTTTTATTAATAAGTTTGCCTTCAGTAAAAAATAGTAGATGAAAAATAGGAAGCTGATCTAAAACCTTAGATGAACACAATTATTTAACTGAGATGATTTTTATTCATGCTTCTTTCTGTTTATTGCTTACTTTGCACAGGAAAGAATTGCAGGAGCTGCAAAATCTTTACAAACAGAACAGTGCACATACAGCACAGCAAGCAGAGCTGATCCAGCAGCTTCAGGTTCTCAATATGGACACACAAAAAGTACTGAAAAATCAGGAAGATGCCCATACAGCTGAAAGTATATCATACCAAAAAGTATGCTTTTATATAGTTATGAAATATAAATTTATAGATATGAACATGGGGGAATGCATTACTTTAAAAAATTTTTTTAAATTTAGCATTTTTTTAAATTTAGCATTTCTGTATTACTCCCTTTTATATGTATTTTTTCTTTTCCATATTCACAATGAAATACGTGAAGTTCAGCTGGGTAATATTTAGTATTTTGTCAGTTTGTTCATGGTTATTAGAACTGAATTATTTATGATGTAGATAAAGCTTTATTCCATAGCTTATTGTATTTATAAATTTCGACATATACTATGAAACTTGTAGGGATATAACCCCTAAACTGGAAAGGATTTGGGGAGTAGAACTACTCAGTATTCTGCTATGAGAAATTAATCAAGTGTTATTCTAGTTTATGATCTATGACAGACTTTTATAATAAAATTTGTACAGTATGTTATTGGCAGATCTGCACAAACACAAAGGGGAATGCTGATGAGATCTTCAGGGTCAATAATTTTCAAGGATTTTTCCTCTTTATTTTGTATGTTTCTTTTAGTAGTCATTTCACTTTACTGTTGTTTAAGGAGCCCCTTAAGTAGGTGTACCCAGCTATTTAGTTAGTATAACTGACTCAGCAGAAGTAAGTTTCAAAAAATTATTGTTTTCTCTCATATATTTTGCATAATTGGCTAAATTATTTATATGAATAGTTTATATATATATATTAACGCTATGAGAGTAATGTTATTTCCTTTAATATTTGAAGCTGGTGACATTTTAAGAGTTTAACTAATAAAATCCATTTTGTTTCTACAAATTGGATCTTTTTTCTTTTAATCCTTTTTCCTCGAAAAAGCATGATGAAAACCTAATCTCTATAATTAATACAGAATAAGTAATTTCATTATGTAACATTAAACACATTTTTATTTTATTATTTTGTTGTTGTTTGTTTTCTTAAAGATAATTTTAAATGATGTTTTCATACAGTGGTTTTCAGTAATATTCTGTGTTGTCTTCAAGTTTTCCCAAGGACATAAATGATACCGAACAGGAGGGTAGAGCCTATCTCTCTGCTTCAGTTAAAGCAGTTCTATCTTTTTATTTTATGAAATTACCCCCTGTGCTTTTGTTTCTACACCAGGCTCCATTGCTAAATGATTTGAAAATTTACACTTTATGCATAACTTTGTTTTTACTTTTTACTCAACATTTGTTACCATTGATAATTCTTTTTTGAAATCCTTTTTTATTTTGTTGTTCATTTCCTAGCTTCCAATGCACTACAGTACTGTGATTTTCTTCCTTCAGTCCTGTTACTTTTTATTTTCTTTTTTGGTCCTTCCTAGTCTTTATCTCATGTGTTAAAATGTCTCAGACCTCAGTTGTCATATCTGTTGTTTTTTTTTCCTGTTTGATCTCACATCCTAGATGATTTTATCCAATCACTTATGCTTTCAAAATCGTACTGTTTTCTGGGGAAAACTTGTCTACTTTGAATGTCTTCCTAAATCTTTAGGAAAGAGTATATCTACTTGCTTACTCAGTAATCTCTTTGCTTTGATGCTTAATGGACTTCTCACTCTCAACATGTTCAAAACTAACTTTTCTGCTTTGTCTTAACACATGTCCCGAATTCTATTTCCTATCAATCCTTCTGTCACCATTTTAGCCATGCCACTATCATGCATTATAACAGTAAGTTGCCACTTGTTTTCTTTACTCTGATTTCATGCTTTGAGTAAACTCTCAACACATATCAAGATATTCTTCGTAAAACTTAGCATATCAAATGTGGTTATTCCTCTTTTCTCTCCATTGTTTTCCCAGTACATACAAAGTAAAACCCTGTGTGATGCTAAACTTTTTCTTGTGTTTATTTGCTCCAATTTAGCTATATTAACCTTATTTTTGTTCCTTGTACATACCAGGTATTTCTTCAACCTCAAGGTCTTTGAGCTTGCTTCCAGTGCCTGAACCCCTCACACCCCATTATCAGCAAAGATACCATCTACTTACTAAATTTGAGAGACAGAACTATTATTTTCTTGCTTGTATAACTTGTTCTAACTTAAATTTTTATCTCAATATTTTTGAAGCTTTCCCACTAGTATTATGTTTCTCTCCTACAAGAAACATGAGAAATATCTAAGTGGTGGAAATGTATTGTTCTTATGAATATTATTGAGGCAGATAAAAAGCCAAAAAGTAGAAACTAAGATCTGCTGCTTTGAAAAATTGGCTTACGTTTCCTTTCTTTAGTCTATTTTTTGTCCTCCATTTCTCAACATTGAATTTCATTTTTCTTTTTATTTGTTCCTCAGACATTACTTCTGCACTGTGTGTGCATGCATATGTTTGTAAAATTTATTGATATTTAACTTAATTATTACTCTGAAATTGTAGTTCTCACTATATTATTTTAATTTATTTATAGTAAATCATAATTTTCATAATGTTTGCATTAATATCCTCAAATTAACTCAATTCAGAATTTTTTTAATTATTTATACTTTATAAATTTTGCCTGCAGTCAGGAGACATTACAATTCTTTTTTGTTTGATAGTTTAGATATAAGTAGTTACTAATAAAAACAGAATCTTTGACAATTCCATTTCCCAAAGGCAAATATTATTAACACTTTGAATATTTACTTTCAGCTTTCAAGTAAATTTTAATGTATCTGTAAACATACTAAAAATGTCTTCTACTAGCTGAGTACATGGTTCATGCCTATAATACCAGCTACTTGGGTGGCTAAGACAGGAGGATTGCCAGTTTGAGGCCAGCCTGGGCAACCTAGCAAGTCTCTGTCTCAAAAATACAACGTTCTGGGGATATGGGGATATATTCAATGGTAGAGCAACAGTGGGTTCATTACATAGTACTGCAACAACAATAAAAAAGTAGCAAAATATTATATTAAAAGCTATGACATATAATTATTTTGGAAATAATAATTTATTTAACAATTTTACAATATCAATTATAATTTATAATTTTCACTATTATAATGAACTTGGAGTAAACATCTCTTTGTTATTATTAGTTCAGACTCTCAGTAATTATTAGAATGTATTAAACATAGACACAGATGCAGACACACACACACACACACACACATATATACACATGCACACACTCAAACCCACCCACTGAGGAAAGTGGTCTTTTTATGAAGAAGTTAGTAACATCATATTAACAGTGTGTAATTCACTTTTAATTGGGTCATAAATGAAAATAAAATGTTTAAATTATTAAATAAGAAGGCTCAGGGGATTGTGGAGTTTGAAGGGAACCTGTTTGCCACATGATCAGTAAATATTAAATTATTCAGTTTTAAGGAGTTGTATAGTATGGTAACCCACTTTGGGTGATGCAATGTTAAAAGCATAAATGCTTATCTTAATGCCTATAGTGTCTTAAAGCTTAACAGGGATATTTCTATATGGATTTAAATATTATTCTTGTTCACTTAATTTTTACCTGAGTGGGTAAATTGGTCTGGATAGTATAATAAGAAGGAAAAATTAAGTGCTAGAATTAGAAATTGAAGTTCCCCCAAAGGCTGATGTGATATGACTTGGTTGATTCCTGTGGCAGTATTGGAAGGAGGTGGAAGCTGAAGGAGATTTCACCTTTAGGAGACGGGGCCTAGTGGAAGGAAGTTTGGTTATTGGGGTTATGCACTTGAAGGAGATATTTGGTCTTCAGCCTCTGTCTCTCAGTTTTCTTTCAGGCTATCATTAAGTGGACAGGATTCTTCTATCCATGCTGTGATATCCTTGCCAATGGCCCAAAAGCAATTGGACTAAGCATCCATGAAAGCAGTCCTTGAAACTGTGAGCCAAAATAAATCTTTCTTCCTCAATAAGTTGATTTTTCCAGGTGTTTTAATCATGTAACAACAAAGTTGACTGATATACATATTTGGTACTAACAAGAGGGGTCCTTGATGTGACCAATATGCAGTGTTCAGAATCTTTTGAAATAGGTTTGCAGGAGGAGTTTGGGAAAGTTTGGAGAGCTGTGTTAGAAAAATCCTAGAGTGCTGTAAATGGAGCTTAATGGGTGACTCTGGTGGAGGCTACAAGACCAGAATACTGATAGAAATGAGGACATTAAAGGCTATGTTGATGAGGTTCAGATGGATATGAGGACTCTATTGGGAAATGGAATACAGACTGTGCATTTATGTTCTAGCAAATAACTTTTCCACATTTTGTTTATGCCCTGAGACTTTGTGCGAGACTGAGTTTAAAGGTGATAGACTTATTTATGTGGCAGAGGAAATTTCAAGGAGGCATAGCATTCATGCAGCAGCATAGTTATTACTGGCTGCTTTTAGCTAAGTATACAATGAAAATTGGGAGCAAAATAAGACTGAAAAAATTTGGAAAAACTTGCAGTTTGGCAAGAAAAGAAGTGCATTTACAGTTATGGCCAAGTGAGTATAGAGATTAATACCCATTAAAATGAAGCCAAGTATTTTGCATCAGTACAATAACAAAAATGCCTTAAGGGCATCTCAGGAATCAGCAAGAACCCACCAATTGAAGACCCAAGTGTGTAAAGGTATAAATTCCTTTTAAAGGTCTTTCATTTGAGAAGGTGGCCCTGGACATCCTGTTTATATAGGGTCACCTAGGCAATTGTTTCCCTGGGTGTTGTTTCCCCATGTTCAGCCATAAAGTCATACAGAGGCAAAGCATTACAACCCTGGTTCAAGTAGGCTTGACTAACACCTGTTGCTGGTGGCAAATGGAGGCATTATTCCCATGATGTTAGTTTGAGCAGGTATTTAGAAAGCAAGAGTTATAGGGTCATGGAGTCTTTCACCAAGATTTCAAAGAACAGCATACAGAAATCAGGAAGTATATGGTAGGGTCAGAGTTCTTGCAAGCAGTCCCTGACAGGGCAGTGTGTAAAGCTGTGAGAGTGAAGCTAGAGCTGCAGTGGAGACCCAAGACAATTAGAGATGCCAAGCATGTGGAACGCCCTTTGAGGGAAGCTGCAGGCA